AGGATTTTGAGTAAAATTATTGTTCCTTTCTTAAAGTTTATTTTGGATTTCAAGTAAGGTTTGTTCTTTTTTTTCTTTTTGTATAAGTATTTTAAGGTTTTTGATTTCACTTTTAAGAAGTATTGGAATTGTATTTGTATTTGGATTTGCTTTCAAGAAGTTTTGATATGATCGTGGGAGGAGAGTATTGTTTAAATATTTTTTGATGTAGAAGTTGTATATTGTAGAAATATCAGTAGTTGCTATGAGATTTTTAATGGTGATAATATTTTTGAGTTGATTATAAAGAGGTAATAAGTTAGGTTTTTGGTATTCTTGTAGGCTTGTGTTGGTTTTGATTTTTTTGTATGGAATAAATTTTAGAGCAGCTTTGTTGATTGCCTTTTTTATTTGATTCCAAATAATATTTAGATCATTGGTATTTGTAATTTCTTTGATAGGAGTTAGTAAGCATATGAGGTTTTGTTCTGTGTGGTATTAGTATTGTTCAATTTAATTTGTTTGAGTTGAGTTCCATTTGAAAAAAAGTCTTGTATAAGTTTCTGCATTAGTCAGTTTGTTAGTAATGATTATTGTTTCAAGACTAATAATAGAATAATCAGAAGTAGTGAATAGATTTTGTATGATGTCTGTATAGTCCAAGAGGGTTATATGAATATTAGTCCAAATTTGGTCAATTCGACTAGCACTATTATTGTGAGTATATGTGAATTTGATAGAAGTAAGGTGGAATAATCGGAATGTAACATAAAAGTTGTGATATTTAAATATTTTGAGTAGTTGGTTTTCTGGAGAATTATATTTTTTTGTTGGTAACCTGTCTATTCTGGGGTTTGGAGTACTATTTAGATCACCTATTATTATGATTTTGTAATTTGTTGTGTTTAAAATTGGTATAAGGTATAAAAGTATTTCTTTGCGTTATTGTTTTTTTTCCTATGTTAGAAAGTAAATTTGAATTAATTTAATATGATTATTTTTGAAATAGAGGTCTATTTCAATGAGAAAGTTTTAGAAAGTTTGAATTTTTCTAATTTGTTTTGCTAGTTGGTTGTGTATTATAATTCCTACGCCACCTTGTTTGTTCAAACAAAGTGCCTAGAATTTTTGGTAGTTGATGAGATTTTTGAATAGTGTTGAGAATTTTGCTTCTTTTAAGTTAAGTTGTGTTTCAGAGATATCAAATATGTCAATTTGATTTTTTGTAATATAATCTATTAGACTTAGTTGTTTGTAGTCCTCAAGTAAACCATTAGTATTAAGTGAGTGAATTTTTAGTGATTGTGCTTGTATTTCATTTTCTGAGTAAGTGATAGTTTGAGGTTCATAGGTTATGGAGTTGGAAGTAGAGTTTGGTTGGAGTAGAATATTAGAGTCAATATGTAGTATTTTGAGTATTGTTCGAATTGGTATATTGTAAAATTTGTAGAATTTTTCTAGTGGTAATAGTATATAGTTTGGAAGTAAAGAATCATTTATGTTAGTATATATGTAGAATTCTGTTTGTTGTTGGTTAATTGAGATTTTAATTGGTTATAAGTAAAAGGAATTTTGTAAGTATTTTAAAAAAGAACTAAGTGTTTTATTTTGTGTTAGTAGGGGTAGGTTATTAGTTAGTAAAAAATAATTAAAGCAAGTTATTTCTTCAGCATGAGATAAAGTATTAGAAGCTGAAGAGTAAAAGTGTATTTCTGTAGAATTGCTTGCTGTATATCTAGTTTTCACAGTTGTGCAAGAGTCCAAAGCCTGTCCTATACATTGGTTCTGGTCATCATAAAATTGGTCTTCCACATAAATGGACTTGTCCACTCATCTACTTACTACATTCTCTTCTAGAAATAGCCTATAATAAGTGGAGGACATCATTATTCTAGAAGTGGTAGTTGTATTAATATGCTCTACAGAAGAGTTTATTGAAACGGAGTATGCAAAATTGTTATATGTATATTTGAATTAAGTTTTTCAGCATAAGTTTGTTTAGTGTTTTTGTTTTTAGTTGGAGGTGAGAATGGTGTATTGAATAGAATATCCTTATTGATAGTAGTAGTATTAAATTAGACATTGAATTTTTCGAAGATAATTTTTTCTGCCTAAGGATAGAATTTATTCCTATACTTAGCAGAAATTTGTGTAATAGAGAGTTTTGGTTGTTGAAGTAAGTGAAGGTATGTTAGAATTCTAGCAAGATGATATGTATTTGTAGGTTTAGAAGTAATTTTTTGAATTATTTAGTAGTGGTTGAGAGTAGAAATTCCTTCATTTATAGATGCTGCTGTAAGGAAGGCTTTAAGGTAGGTATAGAAATAGTAAGTACGTCTTTTGACACTAGTTGCTGTATTGTTTTGTTTAATAAATTCTTGTTTAGCAGAGTTGGCTAGTTTACGAAATAAAGTAATTAGTGTAGGGATTTGGAATGATGCTTTATTTAGTTGATCTTTTTGAAATTGTTCACAGTCAAGTTCAGGTATATCTATCTAACTCTGTCCTTAGGAGAGTCAGAAGATGGGGTTGCTGGAAATTTGGTAAAGGATTAGTCAAAAAAGAAAGTTGAAATATTCTTGAAGTTATGTTCTATATCAGTAGGTAAAATGTTGCAGTCTGTGCCAGTACAGGTGTGGATATGGAAAAGAGCAGCTTTGATATATAGGACTGTATATTTACGAAGAGATTTAATTAAAGTTATTTTGAAGTCTTTTGGAAGAAGTTTTTTTGCAAGCTTTAGCAAGATTAAGCGTGATTTTATATTTGATGTAATTGTAAGTTTTGGTTTGATCTATTGTTGAAAATTGACATTTGTAAATTTTGAAAAATGGTTCGAATCATTTGTCAAGATCCTCTTTGTGTTTTTTGAGTAATGGAATCCTAAAGGTTTCTGTAAATTCTTTTTTAGAGATATTGAGAAAGACATTAATATTAAATTTGTTATCATATTGAATTTGAAAGAGAGGTTGATGAATTTTGTCTTCAGAAATAAAATAATGTAATTGAAATCTTTTGGGTTTGATATTGAGATCTTCAAAGAATTTGTTATCGTGAATAGTTTTGTAATCATCATGAAAAAAGAGATAGATTCTAGCAAGATTAATAGCAAATAGGTTACGATTTTGAATAGTATAGGGAAGAATTGTATTGAAGGATAAGAGAATTTTTTAGTAGTTGAGTTTGGTGAAAAGAATTGTTGTAAATTTAGATAAGAAAGATTTGAAGGTTGAGTGAATAATATCAAAGGGGATTGTAGTAGCTTTATCAATTTTTGGATTTGCGTTAAAAATAAGATCAGTAAGAAAGTCAGAGCGTTGACCTGCTATAGATTTAATAAGATATTTAAAGTTGCTTTTAGAGGCTAGAGTATTTTCTACTGCTGGTTTTAGAATTTTTCCTGGTATGAAGTTGATGAGATTTGGCTTTAGGAAATTAAAGAGTTTAATTGAAATCTGCGTATTAAGTTGGATGTATTGTTCCATTTCCTCTTTTATAGGAAAGGTTTTGAACCAGTCGAGATCATTTGAGGTGTCTCTTTTAAGTAGAGGTTTTTTAGTAAGTTTAGTAAGAACAGATTTAAATAGTACTTTTTTTTGGTCAGTAGTCATGAAACTAAATTTGATAAAATAGAAAGTGTTTTGTTGAGTTAGTGTTAAAGGTTTAGATTGAGAGAAAGGTTTGATTCTAATATTGTTAATGCATTCAGAGTGAACTGGAAAGCCTTTAAGAATAGATTTGAATTGAAGAGAGTGTTTTTTGTTTGAGAGGAAGATACAAGAGATATTTTTTTTGTGGCAAACTAAACATATATAAACATGGTGTGAGTGAGTAGTAATTGGGATTTGTTGGTCGAGAGGATTTAAATTTGTAGAAGATGTTGCAGTATTTTTGATATCATAATTGAATAGAAAAGGAGGTAATGATATTGGGTTTTGTTTAATTGGTAGTTTAGGAATTTGTTCTTGAAGTTTTAGAAATTGTTTTGGTGTGATATATTTGTTTTAAAAGTTGTTTTTTTTTTTTTTTTTTTTTTTTTTTTTTTTTTTTTTTTTTTTTTATTGGTTTTTTTTTTTTTTTTTTTTTTTTTTTTTTTTTTTTGAAAATAAAAGGTATTTTGTTAAAAGTTAAAATTAATTAACTACTGTATGTATTATATTTTAGGATTTTTAAGTGTAATATATTCCTGATAGTTATATATGTTGTGCCTAAGACGTCGATTACAATTGACGTACTTCAGATGCTGATTTTCAGGTGACGTGCGTAACCTGTCAATCAGTCATCTGTTAAGATAAAAAACTAATCTTTTTAGTTGTTACACGCCAATTTCATTGCATCATTGCAGCATTGGTAATTCGAGATGCAAAGATAATCAGGTGTTAATAAATTTATTTTCTTCTTAAAAAAAAAGGCTAGAAGGCAAAGTTGAATACAAAGACAAGTTAAAGCCAATGACAAAGGAATAAAATGGCGTCGCAAAATAATATTACTTTTTTTTTTTAAAAAAAAAAAAAAAAAAAGTAAAGGATTAGAAAAGACAAACTTAAAAGTGAAGTAAACGTCAAGATAATCAGAGATCAAGAGAAAACAAAGCCAACACTGAAGGTAGATTGAGATAATCCGATTGAATATAAGCAAAGTCGAGCTTGAAGAAAGGTACGTCAAGATTAAAGCCAAAGCTTTTTTATATTAATGTTGTGTTCCGACCTAACTTTTTATTCAAGAATGATCTTGCGTCAGATTATAGGTAGCTTACGCAATTATTGAAATCAGTTCGTACAGTACGAATTAAATATTAAGCAATTTAATGAATAATGAATAGACATATAATTTAGGGATGTTAAAACCGTTAAGTATTTTTATTGGTTAAAAATTAAAGATATTTTTATGCATAGCTACTTGTAAATTTTAAAAAATTAATCTTGCTCTTATGTAACAGTTACTCACGTAAAAAATAAATATTATGACGTGTAAACAGATAGGATAAACAAATTAGTTCAGGTGGTTCGATTCATTTTTAGTCCCGAATTGAATCAATGAAGCTATTTTCGGAAACAATTCAGCAAGAAATATTTGCAAACTATCTCTATTTCTCTAAAGAACAATACAAAAGTGACGCCAAAAAGATCATAACCTCATCATCAGTTATGTGAGAAAAACATCAACACATGCAACATAATTCAATAGTTTTAGGTCTTGATGAATATTGGATTAACAAAGGAAATATTCGATTAATGGTAACTTTTCTTACTAATATAAGATCTTATATATTACGCAATAAACTTTCAATTAGGGATGAGAATCGAATCTTTGATAATCGTTTTAATCGTTAATCGAATTAGAATCGATTCTCATTTTTGTGTAATC